CCTCCCAAGTAGCTGCGACCACAGGCGCCCGCCACAATGCCTGGCCATTTTTTGGTTGCAGCCATCATTGTTGTTTGGCGGGCCCAGGCTGGATTTGAACCCGCCACCTTAGGTGTATGTGGCTGGCACCTTAGCCACGTGAGCCACAGGCGCTGAGCCTGCAAATTTGAGTCTTAATGAAATCCACTTATGAATCAAATGTATTATAATTGTTTATCCCTGATGTGGATGTCACAGACTCTCTGGCTTTAAATTCTGGCCCTACATCTTCCTAACTTCATCTTTCTATGCGTCCATTTCCTTAGCAGTAATAAAATAAGGAACTATTAGTACCACCTGGGCTCTACAGGGTGGATGAATAAAAGTAAACCAGCACGCAGGACAGAGCCTGGTGCAGAAGAAGCACTTGATAAATTTCACTTTCATCATTTCACCCTTTAAAGGCAAATACTGAATTAGATCTTTTCTAGTCAATAGGTATTTTCAACACCTTATAATTTCACTAAAGTAGCTAATGAAACCATTGTGACGTTTTCCCTTTGAACCCTGAGGGAACACTCTTCATTATATTCACATCACTACAGTAATTAATTACTAAGCAAAAATGTTCTGACCATACGGTCACTTCCAATTCCTCATCTTGTAGGTTGCCAGTTTTAGATATGGAATCTGTTTCCTTTTTTGGTAAAATCAAGGTAAAAAGAATTAATGACTAGGACACTTTAAAGGGGAAGTGGGGTAAATAAAGTCCTTCCAAATGCTCCAGAGGGAAAGTGAGGTCTGGGCTGGCGGGCTTTCTCTCTCCTTACCTCCACCCTGTTTCCTTCTTTCTCCCCTCTTCTTTCTTTCTCCTCTCTAGCTACAAAGAACCATAGGTCCTTTTTTTTTTTTTAATGTTATGGGAAAAAACAATGGATTCATTCACAAACAAAATAAGTTATGCAGAACAAAACATGCCACAAAGTGCGCAGAGAGACAGGATTCCAGAGCGGAACTTACCCCACGCTTTAGGCTCCTGAAGCAGTGGATTTTGGGTTTGGAGGTCATGAACTCGTTGAAGCGGTGGGAGAGGGGTTCCTTTTGCTGCTTGGGAGACTGGGGGCCGTTGGGAACAGCAGAGGGTGAGGCAGAGGCAGGGGGAGGAGGGGGAGGCTGATGGGGGGATGTTAAAAGGGACACAAGCTACATGTAAGAGATGGAGCAGTGACAGAGTGAAAATCAGAAACAAGAAGATAAGACACAAAACAAAAATAAGCATCAAATAATATTTGAAATCCAAAGCAAGTAAAACACAAACAATTAAATATTGAGGCCATGGTCCAAAAGAAAACACGTAGAACATGTTAAATGAAGAATATGATGAGAGTGGGAGGTTTAGTAAGTAGTGCAACAGAATAAGAGCAAGAAATAGTTGACAAGAAGCTCATGCAGACTTTCGCATGCAGACTGTAACTCCAGTTACTCTAAACCAGTTTCAGTCAGGAGGGTAAATATTTCTACCACCTAAGCTAACACAGTTCAATGGGAGAAAATGAAAGACCTTAAATGCTTAGGTTATGAAAACAGCAAGACAGTCTTTTAAAATTAAGGATTAAATCATTCTAAGGTTAAAGCAGTCACGTTGCCTTGATCGTATTTTATACCCCCAGGTTAATGCTGTCATGCACCTGTTTATCACACTATGAAAAGAAAATGAAAAATGTTCATGGAAACACGAGTTAACACGAATTCAAAACCAAGCAACTAACATGGTAATAATTTTGATTAGATGCACTGATAGATTGTTATAGAAATTTTGGCTACATCCCCTCTCCCAGCCAAGGTACACAGCGGTCTAGGGGACTCTGGGGCGCTAAGCACGATGCAAACGGCTGAGAGGTCAGTCATCTGTTAGTGTGGGTGACACGGTGCAAATGACAATGCGTCTGAAATAAGACAAGGGCCATGGCAAACATACCGCCACCAGAAAGAAAGACTTTTACAGAAAATAGCATAGTCGCTTTTTGTTTTCTTTCTGAAACTATAGGCTTAAGACCTTAGTTTTTTTCAAGACTAAGAGATAAAAGTCAAAATCTCCACACCTTAAAAAAACTCTTTTCACACTAGAGCCAATCATCAGTACCTTATTTTTTTTGATGAACGGCCATAGCTTTCCTTTGGATCTGCCGCCAAATTTGAGCTCTGCCTTGCCTTCTCCTCGGGAATTGGAAAGGCTGTTGTCCGACACGGTGCGCTTCATTGGCTGAGTGTAATCCTCAAAGTCAAGGTCTCCGGGAGGCTCAAACCCCGACTTATAAGCTTCTATTACCAGCTGGGAATCCTGAAATTATACCCAGGAACACACAAATACATTCAAATGCATGCAAATACCTTTTCCACAATGAAGTGTGATGAGCTCATACTGATGATCTTCTAAGGGAATTATGTTGATAATAGATATTTTTTCTAGTAACTTTTTTTTATCACAAGAAGGAATAAGTATCGTTTGTAAGTCTATTACTTCCAAGATCTTAAGATTTGAAGATACTGTCAATAACTATTTTTGTATAATTAGTGAAATAAATACTAGTTAAGAGCTAGTTTGTTAGGCTGGGCATGGTGGCTCACACTTATAATCCCAGCACTCTGGGAGGCCTCAGCGGGTGGACTGCCTGAGCTCCCAAGTTCGAGACCAGCCTGAGCCAGAGTGATACCTCATCTCTAAAAATAGCTGGGTGTTGTGGTCAGCACCTGTAGTCCCAGCTATGTGGGAGCCTGAGGCAAGAGAATTGCTTTAGCCCAAGAATTTGAGGTTGCTGTGAGCTATAATGCCATAGTACTCTATTGAAGGTGACAAAGTGAATACTTTGTCTCAAAAAAAAAAAAAAGAGCTAGTTTGTTGAAAGCAGAAGAATCAATGGTTTATATGATTTACAATTCCCTTAAAAATACAGTAACATAAAAAATCAATGGTTTACATGATTTATAATTCCCTTAAAAAAAATACAGTAACATAAAAAAATGGTTCCCAGTAGAAGTTTTTAAAGCAATTTTTCATAAACAAAGTCAAATCAAAGAGGAAATAAACTCTAATTTCTTTGATCATTATGGTTCAAAGATACTAATTGCTTAATTTTTTATTATATATTTGTTCCATCTTTCCCCCACTAAAATTTAAGCTCTTTTCTGCTTTTTCCTACTGTATTCCTAGTACCTAGATGGTGATAATGAGATGCAATAAGTGTTTGCCAAATAAATCAATGAGCCAAGTGTACAATCTATAGTGTGTACTCTGCTAGGAGCTATGGGTCCAATAGCTTATCAGGGAGCTCAGCGTTGGCTGGTAGAACTAAATGCATCTGGAAGTTATAATCAATAGTGTTGTAGATAGAAAGATTGATAAGAAAGAAAAACCCTTCAGGGTCTTAATGTGAGAACATATTTTAATTAGTCAAAGCTGCTTTAGGTAATACTTAATTTTTAGATGTGCTTCAGAATGCCAATTGTCTTCCAATATATCCAAATCACCCTTCCTTCGTAGTAATAAGAATGGATTTTGAGTTGGGAACTTTGCCACTGAGCTAAAGGCTTCATAGTCCAGCCTTGGTATAGTAAGAGGTAACCCCATGTCTAAGTTTTGACCTTTGAGATGTAGGCAGAAGTACAATGTACAATTTTTGTTTTTAGACAGAGTCTCACTATGTTGCCCTGTGTAGAGTACAGTGGCATCATAGTTCACAGTAACCTCAAACTCTTGGGCTTGAGCAATCCTCTTGCTTCAGTCTCCCAAGTAGCTAGAACTACAGACACTTGCAACAACACCTGGCTAGCTTTTCTATTTTTAGTGGAGATGGGGTCTCAATCTTCCTCAGGCTAGTCTTGAACTCCTGAGCTCAAGTAATCCACCTGCCTTGGCCTCCCAGAGTGCTAGGGGAGCCACCACCTTAGAAGTCTCTTTAAAGTGATGGTGGGGCCCTTCTCCACATTCTGCTTTCTGAAATTTGAATGTCATGGCTAGAGCTCCAGGAGCCACATGGAATCATGAGTTTGAAAGTCCCATCATCAAAGAATGGTAAAGCAGGAGGAGCCTGGATTGGGCGTAGACTACTGGCCCTGCCACCGCTGGACCCTCAATCTCTAGACAACTTTTACATCGGAGAAAAAAAAATACAACACTATAGTTCTTGCTATATGAACGACCAGATTCAGTTCCACAATGATTAGAAATGTGCCAGTGAGTACATTGGTCCAGTCTAGTAAAAACACCATAATTTGATACAAAAGGAAACTAGCTTTATATAAATAAATCAACTTGAACTTTATCTATATTTTATTTTATTTTCAGAGATGAGTCTTGCTATGTTGCCAGGCTAGACTCCAACCCTGGGCTCAAGTGATCCTCCTGCCTCAGCTCCCCAAGTCACTGAGACCACAGGAGTGACCGACCTCACTGACCCATTGAATTACTTGTTAGATCATGTCCTTCAAACTAGCTCAAATGTAACTTCCTGACCTGGTATATCTATCCCCTATACCACCTCACAAAGGTACTTCTTATCATCTTTTCTGTTTTATCTTTTCCAAAATGCTCGTGGTTTTGATTCTAAATAATGTTCTCCTTAATTTTATTGTTGTCCACCTCCCCCTTTAGAATCATGCCTGGCTGGCTTGGCGCCTGTGGCTCAAGTGGCTAAGGCACCAGCCACATACACCTAAGGTGGTGGGTTCGAATCCAGCCCGGGTCTGCCAAACAACAATGCTGGCTACAACCAAAAAATAGCCAGGCGCTGTGGCGGGCGTGTGTGGTCCCAGCTACTTGGGAGGCTGAGGCAGAAGACGCACTTGAGCCCAGGAGTTGGAGGTTGCTGTGAGCTGTGATGCCATAGCACTCTACTGAGGGCGACAAATTGAGGCTCTGTCTCAAAAAAAAAATCATGCCTGGCACTTGTGAATGAGTGAGCAGATTCAAATATGTGCCCCAAACTCTTGTAGAACTAAAAAGAACAAGGTGGCGGGGCTTAGAGGAAAGACTATGGGGCTTTGGAGCCAGACGGACATATCCACTCATGTGACCCTGGGCAGAGTGCGACCGCTCTGAGTTGGGGGTTCTCCTCACAGGTCATGGGGAGGCCCACAGGCTGCAGCAAAGCAGGTGTTCAGTGAATACTCAGTGAATGACTTTATAAAACAACTTTTCTCAAAACAAAATTTTAAAAAAGGACATGAATAATAGCATTTAAACATGAATAGGCAGAGATAAAAGGGCACGATGAAATAAAAACTACAATAAAAATGCCTAAGATCAAAGCAGTGAGACCATAATTAACTTTGCCAAGAATGGAATCCACAAAAAGACAAACTTGAAAAACCATGTGAAACACAGAAGGAACATTTTGGGAAGATGAAGGGAATGTGCAAAGAATGATGACCTGTAGGGATTAAGAAAGATCTCATGTTTGAATTCTCAAAGACGCAGGGGAATGAAACTTGTTCTTTCAAGCAAGGACCCAAGGGAGGTAAGAGAGGGAGCCACTCAGAAACCTGGGGGAAGGGAATCCCAGGCAGAGGAAGAGCAAGGTAAGAGTATTTCTGGAGTTTTCAAGGAATACCAAGGAGGCCACCATGGCTGGAGCATCTAGGGGACAGAGCAAAGGGAAACAGGGGTGTGTGAGAGGGCGGGGTCTAGATGGCTTAGGGCTCTGCAGCTCCAGATGACTTTCACTTCTCCTCTGAGTTGAGGATACTCCTGGAGGGTTCCGAGCAGAGGAAGGACGAGACCCAATTTATTTGAAGGGTCCTCTGGTTTCTGCATTAAGAAAGTAATGGGGGGTGGGGATAGGTGCAAAGGTGAGGAGACTAGTCAGATGCTTCTGCAGCGCCCCTGGGACCTCCTACATAATCGAAGATGACAGGACCTTGGATCAGGAGGGTAACAGTGGCTGTGGCTAGAGCTGGGTGAGCTCTGTATTTGGTACTTTGATACCCAGACTACAATACTTACATTTTTCTGATCAATGGATTCAGCTGCCTTCACTATTCCATCCAAGCATTTCCCGATGATTGGGATGACCTGCCGGTCCACTTCTGCGTACGTCTTCATTGATTCTCCAATTCTCACAATCCTCCTTTCCTCCATCTCTTGTATTTTCTGTAACATTAGATTTTGTATGAAATAAATTTGGCCTATTGTTATTTAAGGAAGTTGTTTCCTGGCAACATTGTTGCCTCTAACAAATTCTCTAGGAGAAAAAAGGGGTTAGAGTGAGAGCAACCTAAGTTTATAGTGCCTTTGTTTTAGCCGGCTGTACATATGTATTTTATAAATTGTTAGGCTGCCCAACTACAGCAGAACCTCCACAGTTGAACACTTCCCTACATTGACCACCTCCTTAAATTGACCCAATTTTCAGACATGCACTCAATGGAAGTTCCTTATGTTGGCGTCCCCTGCATGCTGACCAGTCTGTTGCAGTTCTTTGTGTGGTCAACTTACAGAGGTTCTACTGTCTATACTTCATTCAATTCCATTCCTCTTTCAGTAAGAATCCCCAAACTTGGTAGTTTGACTATTAACACCATTTGGTAATGTGGCTCACTTTCTCCAGCTTTGATTCACTTTACACTTTACCAAAACAGTATTTAGTTAAGTGTCTCAACCCTGAGATGTAAGTCGGGTACTTTTGAATACAATTTGGTAGTTCTTGTTTGCTGTGTGTGTGTAGATACCAAGAAACGAATGTTTTTTTCTACAACTGGACTAAAACTCATAGCCGTTCCCCAAGGGGCAGGACATGTGTATATCTTTCCTCATGTTATTTTTGATAACCTAAGGAACCAAAAGAAAAATATTCAAAAGCAAGAACTGTCATTTATTCAAATTCTACAACTGTATGACTGTTGCTTTGACTCCTAAAGTTTGCATTTTTGTAATCAGATCATCCTTTTGGCAAAGACAGCATTATTTAGAGAATCAGAGTTTAAGACTGAATAGATGGTTGCAGCTGTAAACTGTGGAAGTTTACACCGGGCACAGGGGTTTAATCCTATAATCCCAGCACTCGGGGCAGCCGAGGTGGGTGGATTGCCTGAGCCCACAAGTTGGGATACCAGCCTGAGCAAGAGTGAGACCCCATTTCTAAAAAACAGCCCAGGGTTGTGATGGGCCCCTGGTGTTGTGGGTTGTGATTGTTGTTTGGCAGGCCCAGGCTGGATTCAAACCCGCCAGGTCTGGTGTACGTGGCTGGCACCTTAGCCACTTGAGCTATAGGCAGCAAGCCTCTTTTTTTCTTTTCTTTTCTGTTTTTTTTTTTTTGAGACATGAGTCTCACTCTGTGACCCTGGGTAGGGTAGGGTGTAGTGGCACCAATCATAGCTTAACCTTAGCCTCTCTAGTAGTTGGGAATAAAGGTGCACACCACCATGCCCAGCTAATTTTTCTTTTTTCCTTTTTCTTTTCTTTCTTTCTTTCTTTCTTTTTCTTTTTTTTTTTTTTTAGTGAAAACAGGGTCCTACTCTTGTTCAGGCTGGTCTCTAACTCCTGAGCTCAAGGATCCTCCAGCCTTGGCCTCCCAGAGTGCTGGGATTACAGGTATGAGCCACTGCACTTGGCCAGAAGCAATACATCTCTAAGGAACCCAGACAGAAGCAATGTGTTTCTAAGAAAAACACAACATGAAATTTGAATGCCTTACCTGGAAGATGTTGGGGATGTGAGTATGGTAATACTCATGCTGCTCGTGGTTGAATTTCTGAAGATTCGATGAGTAATCTGCTTTGCTGTCCTCCGCCATTTGGTGCCGTATTTGAGCTTGTTGTCGGGCCTTAGAGCAAAAACATTACCCCCACGTTTAGATATCACAACCAGGACTGCACAATGGGGTGCTAAGTCCCAAATTTACTACAAATTTGAATACACTGTATTTTTTTTTAGGAGGGGAGGGGGAAACCCATACTTTAAAAAATCTAATTCTCAATGGGGTTCATGGACTAAGAAGATATAAGAACCCCTGCTCAGAGGGGGCCTTTCTAAACCTCTCCACTCTGTTTACTCTTAGTCTATACTTTAAAGAGGCAGCTAAGCGGGGCGCCTTCCGCGCCTTCTATGTTTGGGGAGGTTGTTACTTCATTTTACTACATTGCTTTTCTCAAAAAATAAAAGAGAAACACACTAATAAAATCTACAAATTTGTTTCTTTTAATTCTTATTTTAGTCAATCACTTATCTTTAAAAAAGGGAGAGGGGCAATTGTTGCCCAGTTGCAGAACAGACTTTAAAGCTCAAACAAGAACATGCCAACTCTAAAATTACCCACAAATACAGGAGATTGTCACCCTGTCAACGCCACCTTGGATTTTATATGGCATTTTGGTAGCATTTTGACAAATATTACCTCGAGACTCTCTAACACAGTCTGAGGTCCCCGCAGGGCACAAACCCACCCCCTGCCAGATGAAGGTATGCTTGGTCCTTAGGTGACTTGGCCAACTCCCGGCATTGAGCCAAAAACACAACAGGGAAAGGGCCATGTTCCAACATAACCAAGGCAACCTTTTGTTTGCTTGCTTGTTTTTGTTTTGTTTTAATGAACCAATGTTATAGAAAATTAAGACCTAGTAGTGGAAGGAAGAAGGCATGCAGAAACGTTCTCGTGTAAACCCAGCAGAGAGACGCTGAAGTTGTCTGTCCTACTTTCTGTCTGATGGTGACATCCCGTCTTGGCTACTTTTCATCTCAGCATTCTCTGTTGGCGCCCTGCCTATGTGACTTGGAGACGAGACCTGATTTTCACTTCACGTTTTACTCGTACGCAGATCAGCATAAGCCCAAGGTGGGAATGCGTCGCTGCTTCCTTTATTTTCTTCCCTATTCTTACATGAACACTTCCCAAACGAAGGTAGCAGTATCGGTATCGCCACCCGAATTTCCTTATTACTGAGGTTTCTTTAGTTTCTTAAGGCCTTTAGGTGTCTTGATACCACGTTATCCACTTCTCATCGACCCTGGGTTTATTTTAGCTGCTGCATTCTTCCTCTTTGCTGGTGGCCTGTGAACTCCCTTCCTGACATACGCTTGGGCTTCTGATCCTTACTGTGTCCATTAGTAAATATATTAGTCTAGTCCCCCCAAAGTTAAGCACCCAGCTATTTTCAAAAACCCATCCCAATATACAGCAGCCCCCCCCCCGCCGTTTAAGCAGCAGCTCCACCCCCACAGGTCTCCATCTGTCCCCCTCAGGAAACAGCAGCAGGAAAGCCCATCAGCCCTTCAAGCGCTGTCACTTCATCACTCGTCACTTTGTTAAAAAAACAAGGAAATTCCCAGAGACCTCACATTTCTCAAGCATTCTCTATTTTATTCACAAACCTTCCTCATAAGCCTCACAAGCATCCAAGGGGGCATTTCTCCATCTCTCCCATAAAGAACAGCAACATGTAACAAGCTAGAGAGCGCCTCGTTTATGTGGGGGATTCTTACTGAATCTGAAACAGGGATTAGAACGTCATCATATAGAGTATGTGTGCATGTCTGCACACACACACACACATGCATGCATCACACGGGCACATAAAACCTTCCTGACAACAAACCCACTTACACCAACACTGGAATATTTGACTCGTGAGAGCTGGTGTGGGGGGCACCCCAGCACCACGTAGTCGGAAGTGCCTGTGATCCTCCCCTCTTTGCTCTAGAAAATCCCTAACACACACATTATGTTTCAGCTTGGACTGTCTCATGCTTTTTGGACACATCATGCCCTCAGCCTGTTTGTGTGCAGTACTTCTGAAATATAACTAGAAACCACTAGGTTTGAACTACGGAAGAAGCTGGGTAAAGAAGGACATGTCTAAAATCTAGCCTGGAAAGATAGCAGCTAAGCAGAAGAAAATAAACCAGATACACAAACTTTAGAGGACACGCGTCTACTTTTTATGTAAAAGCAATGTTTTCTCTTTGGGAATTGTTCTTGAATGTAAAAGCTTGAACACAGGATCACAGAAGGCTATTTCTACATTCTCTCTCCTTCTCTCTGTCCCCTAGAAGGACAGGGGAACACTTGGAAGCAGCAAAATATGGTCGCAGGTCAGATTCCGCAAAGTCACAGCAGGGAGAGTCACTGTCTTTCTCTCAGTTCCTACATCCAGCTGCTTTGAATTAATATCCACTTTTGAATCTCTGGCCTAGGACCGTGCCATTGTTCTAACCAAGTTTCACTATGGAAAAACTATTTTTGATTAGTAAACTGCTACTACTCATCTTTACAAAAATATTTGTTAAAATAGCTTTACAATACTTTCAAAGGCTTGTCTGGAGTAACCCTTAAGGAACTACGTATTTCAGAGACTGTATTCCCTAACATCTAAAGCTCAGTGACGATTATAAGCATCATGATTTCTCATCTCTTTTTAGATTGGTCTAAAAATAGCAACTACTATCTCAAAGAAGTGCAACATTTCCATTCTAACCAGACCATAAGCTGTTTATTTAAATTAAATTAAATTTCCCATTCTAAAAATAAAAGACACTGCAACTTATAGTAACAGGACTAGAGGGCAGAAAGATATCCAGGGGGTTGGTCGGTTTTGTTTCATTTTAAATGAGTCAGACTCAAGTTTTAGAGATAAAATTCTAAAAAATCACAGACATCTCTGATTAAGATCTAGACCACTTTTGTGGTCTACCGAGAGACGGAATTTAAACTTTGGAATTTCTTTGATAACCCCTTGGGAATCTCCCCAAATAAATCCCAACAGGCCTCCCCGTATGTCCTGCTCACGCATGACTTCACCTCTTGGTAATTCTTAACACAGTCCATTTTCAATGACTTTACGGAAGTAAAGCTGCACTCTCTAAAAGGTCACTTTCTAAATAAAGAAAACAACATTTTAGAAACTAAACTGCAGTCTGAGACTTTGCAATCCTAACGGGTTTAAAGATAAAAATACTGTAATCCATTTATTTAGCTAAATTTAGATTATTAGCATGGCCAAAGAGTGCAGCTATTTCCTGTTTAATTCATTATTACTTTTTCCTTAATATTTCAAAATATCAAGGAGAATAATTTTGCTGGCTGGATCTCAACAGTGTCCTAAGGAACGTGGTTACTTTCACCGGGGGAACTCGGTTTGTTTGCTTTCTAAGTGACAGCCTTGGATCTTTTTTCATGGCTTTTGGCTTCTAACAAAATGAGTAAATTTGGACTAGTTCCATTTATATAGTGTCTGAATAAATAATGAGGTTTATTACCTTTTTGAACACAGCCTGAACCTCTCAGAATTTTATACATTGATGTTCCTTAAATGGTAAACTATTCAATGCAGCAGGGGCCAGAACTTTTTAAAAAGTCACTTTTCCTTTGATAAACAGATATAACACATTATAAATGTTCATCTTTTATTACCAAAAGTCTGGAGAAAGCAATAAGGAATATTTTACAGTTATCACTGGTCGCCTAAACAACAGTAAATGTTCTCTGAAACAGCTGCACTTCCAATATTTTATTTCATCATTATCATAAGAAGAGGCCAATTGTATTTTAGAATAGATGGAAAGAGATTTTATTCACTTTCATGGAAGAATATGCTATTTTGCACCACTGATAGGCTTCCTGCAACTGTTATCCCATGACCAGCAACCTGCGGCCACTCAGCTTGGATGGCAGATGGGCCCGGCCACCACCCACAGGCGGGAGCCACAGCGAGACGCCAGCACAACCCCAGACTTGACGTTGTCACTCCTCAAACCACCTGAGCCACAGACTTCACACTCTAGATAAAATTTTTACTAATGTAACAGACAGGGCTCTTTGGCTGCCTTTTTCTACTTTTTTCTCCTAATTACAAAAACCTGTTTGCTGTAAATTTTGTAATTCAAATTTATAGAACTATATGGTTCAAAAAGCAAATGTTCCTGCATATTTCACCTACTGAAAACCCCGAGAAGCCAGATTTTCGGACGTAGCCAGATGAACGAACAAAGCACAGGTCTTTTCGCAGCACACAAATGAGGTAGAGGGCACTGGAAATCATTCCCTATTTTCTACCTAGGCGGTAGGACAATTAAGTTTGAGAATTCATCCTAGAAAAATTCCTGCACACATGGGGCAGCGCCTGTAGCTCAAAGGAGTAGGGCGCTGGCCCCATATGTCAGAGGTGGCGGGTTCAAACCCCGCCCCACAAAAAATACCTGCACACCTCATTGCTGTGTATCAGTCACTACAGTCGCCTCCAAAGTGCGCCCTTAGGAAGCTATTTGCTGATGCCAGGGCTTAGTCTACCCTCCCAAGCAATTCTGGAACTCCTTTTCTGGAATGGCCATTGGAGCTGTCGTCCTATGAGGTCTGACAATTAAGTTTGCGAGCTCATCCCAGAAAGCGTGCTTTGAAGGATGGATTAGGTGCTGGCACAGTTCGCAGCTTCTCAGGGGAGTACTCGGAAGGTGACCGGAGTGATACTCAGCAAGGAAGCAGGTTGCACGTTTGCTAGGATGAGCTTGCAAACTTAGTCAGATCTCATATTTTTCTGTGCTTGTTTCTTTTTTTCTGTCCCTCCTCTACTCTGAAGGAATATTTTTTATAGGTATTTTTGAGATCAGAAAAACAGCAACCTGTTTGGAGTCCTAGAAAACCCTAATTGGCACCAAAAATTTCTCTAGGATCTGCTAATGTTTAAGAGTACAATTAATTTTACCCTAGTCTTTGACCCAGCAATTCCATCTCTGATAATTTATCAATATCCATCATAATGTTCATAATAGCTATTCATTTGAAATAATAATTTGAAACAATTGCTTAACTATTATGTCACACCCCTGATGGAC